GATAATTTTAGCAATAATTACCGATATATGTACACAAAATAATAGTATAACATTATATACAATTAAATCTAATGTTATATCAATGACAAAATGAGGATGTCAGCGATAGTTAAACATAAATTTAGCAAGCTAATTTACTTCATTCGCCAAGTTTAGTCAATTCAAAATGTTAATTGTGTTACTGGCTAACTAATCATAACAATTAGAACTAATAAATCGAGATTCGTGCCTCGATGTTCCCAACTAAGAAGTCATCCAAGTACACGGTGTCCACCTTGTACATTTAATGTAAAATGCATTGCATGTAATGAGAAAATTATTTCTATAAATTGTCCTCTCTTATTTTGTGAAACTTTAGGTCACCGATTTTGATAACTATATTAATTAGTACCCTGATTTCCACACTACTTATATCTACCATAATTATCATAATTTTAAGCTGTTAAATTTTAATCCACAATATCATTTAATCATTATTTATTTCTAAATTATATCTGACCAGTGACTATTTATGTGACATTTTAGAATATAGATATTATTCGTGCGATTTTCAGTGGGCCACTGTGCTATCTTGATGAAAAAGTGAATGCTTAATATAATAAGCTGGGTAACTGCTCGGACACCAAATATCATACAGTATGATTCATACTATGCTGTAACCTTGCTGTAAAAGGCATAATCTTACGATAATTAGTGAGCATAGAAAATGAGCTCAATTTGGTGCCATTGAATATATGATCGCCAATTAATTGGTGTTTACAGTTAAACGTAGCGAAAAATACAGTCAATAGCCATAAGGTTACGATAACAATGAATATGTAAAGATCATACGTGTTTGATACCCCCAATTGGACTGGTATGGTAATTTTACTTTTATTTAGTAACTTTTAATTATACGTTAAAAATTTTGCATATATATCGATAATTACAGCTTGCATGTGAATTATTTTAAAAATAAATTGTGTATACAACGAGATTTTAAAATTTTATGTCAATTTAAACATAGTCATGAAATTATATATTTTTTAAATCAATTAAAATGCAGACAAAATAATTTGATTAATAAAACTTGTGAATCGTTACAAAATATGTAAACAAATTTTGAAAAGTCTCCCAGCAGATTTTTGTCATTTATAATAACTTATAATAACAGTGAAAATATATACTAGTAGTAATTTTTATTAACAATAATTGTTATAGTTTTCAGTCAATCTGATCCCTAACGCTAATTAACATTAATTATAGTGATCTACTGTACATATAGTGATTAACTATATGCAATCAGCCAGTTACTCGGTGTTTTATGCGAACCGTTAAATGTTTCATACTTGCTAGCTGAATGAGCGGGTTATAATAGTCCAGTTCCTACCATCATACATTTAAATTAATATTAATGAATTCATTGATATAAGTAATATAAGTGATTAGAAAGGATTAGTATTAATTATAAATCATACGCTATTTTATACCTTGGTCTTATCACAGGCCATAAACTCAAATTTTGACAACATTTTTACCAAACAATACTTCAACTCCATCAAGGCCAATTTACGACCAATGCAATTACGAGGGCCGGTAGCAAAGGGCAGGTATGTGTAGTCTTTAATGAGGTGTCGATTTTCAGGCATGAATCTATCTGGCCTAAATTCATCAGGATCCTCAAAGTTATCCGGGTCCATGTGTAGGGCCCATATGGGTATAATAATAGGCGTCCCTTTTGGCAAATATATGCCGTCCAGATTGCGGTCATTTGTAGTGATTCTGTCGATTCTGTCGATTAAAACAATATATTCACTAATTATTTGGCCAACAATTTACAAAACATTTTTAAAGCAATTTAACAAGTACAGTTTTTAATCTAACTATGTAAAGTGCACAAGTAATCTAGTACACAAATAAAACAATTATTTGCCATAACAGTAACATGAGATTTACAATCATAATTTAGTACTTATAGGCTTATTAACTTTATAAATTTTAATACACCAGAATACCAGCTCTCTTATTAACTATGACACAACTCGATGGGACATACCTACTGGCCGAGCAGTTGACCCTGAGCACCTCATGTATGAATGCGTCCAAAAATGGCATTTTGTTGAGCTTTTCGTAATCGACTTCCGATGGGTCGGGAAATGTCGACCGAATCTCTTCGTGGAGTCTATTCTGATGGTGAGAATAGAGCGCCAGTTGTCGTGTTATGAAACACAATTGGGTGGCAGTTGTCTCATACCCGGCCGCTAACATATTCATACTCTGGCCCAACACCTCATCGGTGGTTAACTCTATTAGGAAAAGTAGTTTTACCATGATTGTTTTTAAACATTTAGTTTAGCAATTAAATAATAGATATATATATATATTTACTATCAAACGAATTCTTGTTATCATTATTGATGTGATTATTATTATTAATATTGTGGGGGTTGTGGGCCAATACACTGGTGTCGATGAGGTTTTGCAGCAAATCGGGTACAACTATATTCTTGTCCATACGCTCATCGATCACCTGACGTATGGATCGGGCGATTAGCGTCAGGTCTTTCTCATCAAAAAACGTGATTTTCATGAATCGTCTCATGAATGGCAGGAAAAAGACGATCCAATCCCTGATCTCCTGATCCTTTTGGAAGATATTCTTCACGGCATCGAACAGCGGGTTATTACGGGGATTCTGGATGGCCTGGGCGTTGGCACCGGTAGTCACTGTCGATATGACGTCAAACGTGAACGAGTCGTAGTACATGCGCATGTCGACCACCTCAGCGCCGGTAGCCATGGGCTCGAGTTTGGCGCACAGTTGGTCCACAATCTTCTCGATCATGGGTTTCACGGATTTTAGTTTTCCGGTCGTAAACGAGGGGTTCTGTAGGGCGCGGACGCGCTTCCACTGCGGGTATCGCGAAAAGAATAGCCCGTTGTCTATGAGTTCGCTCGGATCGGTCAGCAACTGGTGCCCGACAGGCGTAACAATATTCACATTTTGTAATTATTATTAGTAATTATTGTACCGTAGTATGTATTTATAATTTGAGTAATTATTGTTATTTGTATGAAATTATAACTGGCCTGATACAAATCATAACTATATAAGCATATATTTATTTTTTAAAACTCATTATTACTAAATTATAAAATTAAACTTGCAAACTTATTTGAAAAATTCTTAATGTTAACTAGTATTATAATAAACTGTAAATTAGTATTCTAACAAAAATTAATTTTTTAAAAATAGTTTTTCATATAATTAATTATTTTCTCTTTAATTCTCTGTGACTTACCCTGTGGTTCACGAAACTATGAAACTCCGTGACCAACACTTTTCGTATTAAATTGGGGTCCGTTATGGACAGACATGGTCTCAGACCCTCATAAAAACTAAAAATCAAAATAACTACTAAATAAAAATCATCTAGAATATATTTGGATATAATACCCCAACACTTTTCCATGTTTTCTGTGAGCCTCGGGATCTACCACCTGATATGGTTGTCCACTACGGGAGGATAAATCTTGTGGTATACCCTGACGGCTCCAAAATGTCCATTTATTGTACAGAAATTGTATCAATGATAATATAATCAGTATAATCGAGAATACAATTAAAGTATACATTATTCTACCCTGTTTCTATTAATTTAAATCAACATTTGCCTGCATATAACTATTAAACACAATAATAAATTATGATTTAATAATAACGGTGTACCTGTATATGAATAACTGGTTTATGATTTATGCATATTTGCATTAAAACCTTTGGATTATAAGTCTGTCTGGCTATTGTTAAAATATAATCACCCGTTATTAAATCTAAATATAGTACTGTACTGTAATCATCAAACCCTGTACTTGACATATGAAGGATATTTTTAAACAAATATTAATTTATTTTATTTTAAATGAATACAATTATATGGTAACATAAAATTATATATCTACAGTAAATGCTATTAGTTAATTATTTAGTATATCCAGCCTTTATGGATAGCATAAATTGTATAATGGGTATTTATGAATCAATGAAAATTGACAAATAAATAATATAATTATAAATTCTTACGAGCTGTTTTATTTTATGCTTTTTAAAAACTTGTTATGCTAATCTAAATATTTAATACTGGAAACTATAAAGACTATATTAATGTACAGTATAATATAATTATAAATTTTAAAACAAATATTTCATCAATTTAGTTGGTTTTACAAAAGGTTTCGTATTATATCTAGGCATTATGTTATCATGTCTAGATTTTGTGTGTGCATATGTTTAAAAAATGATTTTATTCAAAAATCCTTCAAAATTGAATACAGCTTTTTTGATGAATACCACACACATGTACATTTACTGTACTCCATTATATTATATAGTTAAACATTTTTATTTATTATTTCAGTCAAACACAAATAAAAATATAAAGTCATTTGTAATTCATAAAATATTAATAAATCTCCAACGTTTTGGTTAATATAATATAATTGTAAATTTTTTAAATTTTAATTTAAAGTACTGTAGTCCTAATACTCTGGGACACGCTATATTATCTATGTCATTTCAATAAATAAATTTTGATTTTAATTAACTTAATAATTAACTTTTATAAATTTACATTCTAAATAAATACTTTTAAAGAAATTTTATTAACTAATTGAAAATTTGATGTTAATTGACCATTGTTGATCTATGATCTCGATGAGTAAATAAATAACTACAGTAGATAACTTGTTCTACTGCATATTGTGTAAAAAAATTTGAAACATTTTAGCTTTTTTCGAAATATTAACATGTAAATAGAAGTTAAAAAATATATTTTATTTGATAACATTATAAAAAGTAGAATATCAATAAATTAAACTTATAATAATATTCAATAAAATAAATAAAATAATACAGCTTTCTGTCCTATTTTTTATTTCATTTAATATTTTAATATTATATAAATTTAGTGTTTTGATAATAGACACTAAAAAGGTTATAATTTGATAAAATACAGTATACTTGATAGTAATAGTTAAAGTAATAGTAATATTATAAAATTGTTAGAAATCAAAATGAAAATTAAAAAATTTTAATATATCTGGTAGACCAAAATGAGATGGCCCTCTGAAAAGTTGCTTTTATTTCTTATTGAAACATTGCTTTTCTGTAAAGTTTGAAAATAATAATGTTTAATATAAGTAAATTTCAAACTTTACAGAAAAGCAATGTTTCAATAAGAAATAAAAGCAACTTTTCAGAGGGCCATCTCATTTTGGTCTACCAGATATAAAAAGATTTGCACTAGTTACAATTTCTACAATATGTAAAAAGGTCTCTGAAGTGACCATCTAAGTCACACAACCTTTGTGAACAGACCATTGATTTCCTTGTGATATATTTTCTCCACATTTCTTCGCTTCAGTTTCATGGCTGCGGTCAACAGATCGTTATCAGGGGTCCACTCATCGGCTACTAGTCTTATGCGCAC